GATGATGATGATGACGATGATGATGATGACGATGATGAATGATAATGGTAACAGTGATGGTATAGGAAATGATAAAAACAGAAGCAGTGTTCATCGACATCAACATAGTCAGCATTTCTGCCGCAGTGATACCATCAGCCAACAAGAGCACAATCATCAACAACCGCACTATTAGTGCTGGTAGTATCAATACCTCTTCATGTATCCGTTGTGATTTCAACTAATTATATTTATCATCATCACCAACATTAACATAACTTATCATCATCATCATCATTAACAATGATAGAAGCAGCAATAGGAGTAATTATCTTTCATCTGACGATAATTATTATGATTGGTTTACGTTAATAATAATAATAATAACGACAACAATAATGACAATAATTATTGTACGTTTATTCTCCTATCGTCCCTATTATTCAAATTATATTCTAGGAATATTCCAAAATTTTTCATTTGGAGAAAAAGAAGTTAAAAAATTGGAAGAAAAAAAAAGGAAGCAAAATTCTGATAAGTGATAAAAAAAAAATGCATCCATAAATAAATTAAACAAAACTGTTAACATTTCTTATTAAATCATTCTTACAACACTCCTCTCATTATTAATGATAACAAATATATCATACTCAATACAATATAATATAAAATTAAATGATGGAAGTTATTTCAACAATTTTTAATTATTACCATTTCTATCATATCCCTTTCTCTCTCTCTCTCTCTCTCTCTCTCTCTCTCTCTCTCTCTCTCTCTCTCAAACTGCTCTTCAAAAGATATCATTGTTGTCGTTATTATTGTTGTTATTGGTGCTACTATTGCTACTCCTATCATTACTATCATTACTACAACTCCCACTACCACCGCTACTGTTGTTGTTATACCCATTTCTCCCCTCTATCAATCCATCCTCTTGTCCTCCATATCACTATTAACATCGTTACGCGTCGTCGCCATTACCATCATCATCATCATCATCATCACCAACAACGAATCGATATCGATGCGAGGTGAATGATGACGATGACGATGGTGGTGGTGGTGGTGGTGGTGGTGGTGAGAGTGTGCCATTAGAGAAACAGGGAAATATGAATGTGAATGTCCTCTCCATCCCCATCGCTCTCGTTCAAATCATCTACCTCTCATTATTATTGCTAACATCGTCATCAACATCATCAACAACTAACCTTACCATTATCGTCATTCCATCTCCATCCCTACCATCATATATTATTATTGTCTTCAATATTACGAACAGATTTTACATCTATAAAATATTGGATGAAAATGAATGCATTGTCTTTTTTGCTGGATAAATAAATCAATAAATTTGTTATGCTTATCGTATTTGTTGAATAAATAACTATTAAATTTGTTGTGATTTCTTTACAATTATCATAATTTATCGTGCGAAAATACTACATCGTCAATTGTTTTTCTGTGTAATATCAATTACCGATACGAATTGTATTTGAATTTTAACATCATTAATGACACAAAAAATCTTTAAAATGAAGTTTAAACGAAAAAAAAAAAGAAATGAGAAAGAGAAATGTGAAGAGGAGAGAAGTGTACAAGGCAGCATGTCTCTTTGATTAAAAAAGAAAAGAAAAGAAAGGAAAGTGAAGTGAATTTCGAAAATTAACATGATCAAAATGAAGATGTGTCAAGGCAAATACTTACTGCATTCCTATTTTTGCCATATGAAATTGAACTTCAACAACTCTCAACTCTAATTTCTTTATTTTCAAAAAAGAAAAACGACAAAATGCAAAAATATCAAAGTAATGTGTATTGTTAATGTTTGCAAAAAAAAAAAGAAAACAAAAAAAAAAAATGTTGCGACAAAACTGACCAATTCCAATCAGTCAAAACAGTTTTACTGGAATTGGTCAGTTGATTGCAACACCTTTCTTTTGAGGGGGAAAAGAGGAGACACCTTTTTTTAATTAAAAATAAGTAGGGAAGATGATTGTGAAAGACAATAAATTTAAAGTCTTGGGCAAATTGAAATAAATTTCAGCGTAAAATCAAATTCGTTTCAATCAATGTTCTCAGATGCAGTTTTTTGTGGGTTTAATTAAATTAAGCTAATTAGTTGACGAATCGTTTTTGACGACAAAAAAAAAAATGCATCTTTGATTGTTATTTTAATGTTCTGCGTAAAAAATGTTACAGTTCTAGACCGTTGGATGAAATGTGTATATATGATTTAAATTAAACCAGTTTTTCCAAATGGCATTTAAAAATATGAAAGGGTATTGTGGCATAAGCAACACGAATGAATAAATTATATTTAAATTAAAATTATTGAAAAGCAGGAAAGAAGTTTGAAATGAGCTTATATAGCATATGTTAGCATTTCAATAACAATGAGGAAATGAATATATCACCGAGGATGGAATAATATTTCTAAAGAATTGAAATGACGAGAAATAACAAAAATGAACAAATCAATGACTAAATCATTCAAAAATACAAATTAAATAAGTTCGAAAAGAATGACCTTAAATATCTACACACTTTTAAATCTTTTCAATTCTTTTATCCCAATTTTATCTCAAGTCTTTTTTTTTCTCCCATTTAAAATCCCTTCATATACAATTAAATGTATGGTAAGATTTAAATGGGAGTAGTAATTAATCCGTGTTGATTAAATACAATTGCAAATGAAAATAAATATACATCTTTGATTCATACCAGACTAAACATTTAATTGGAAAAATTCCTCATGATAAACTTTTTTTGATACTTTCACCTTTCTGTTATGCTTATTTTAGCTCATTTGTCACATTTGTTAACAATGATTTTTTCATCCTTTAAACATTCATTATCATATGTACTTCTTCCACTTCATGTTATTGTCGTTCGTTTTTATTCAAATATATCAATTGGAAGTTGCTATCAGTATTGTGATGTACAAACAAAATTACTGCAAACTTTCAACACTACCCCGTAACAGGCACTTTCTCCAATGCAGAATAGTTTATTATCGCAAATATAATCTTCGATACTACGTAAAGAGTTACATAATGGCATTTTATTCTTCTGCAACCAATAAATAAATATAGTGTTTGCAGGAGAAATGAAACTATCTACAGTTTAAAATATCTGTACTGTATATAAAAAATGAATTTGAAAAATGATAGAATGAACTGACCAAAAAAGTTTTATTGCAAATAATCATAAAAAAGACAAACAATAATAACAATAATTATTATTTCCATAATTTATTTCTATTACTAAGCTAATCACTACTGTAAAACAAAACCTCACCTATATGTAATCATGAATATGTTATGACGACTGCATCTGGTAATAAGTTATTGGCTTGATGATGAGACTATCATCATCATCATCATCATTCTATACAGCGTACATTTTTTGTAACAAACCATAAAAAAGGATTGATAAATATTTAATAAACTTCTAAAGATAACAACAATATGCGGCTCTTGTAAAAATCCGAGAACCGGTTATTGATGATTATAGCAGAATATGTGTAATGGTAACAAGTATATATGTGCTCATATGATACATTTAGTATTCAAAATATTTGGGGGATAAAAAACGAACAAGAAGCAACGCCAATGGAAAAATTATTTTCTTTTAAGCTTTCTCTCACAGATACATGTAGCTTCCGCAAATTTGGAGCTCTCAAAAGAAATAGTCCATAACAATTCAATGTATATCCAACAAATTCCAAAAGCTGTCGATAATGAAGTAAGCATCAACGGAATGAATTGCAAATTAAGATCGAATATGATCTAAAATGCGAAGATCATATTCAAAAACTTACAAGCTAAAAGAGATTCTTTTCACCACTTGGAAGAATCGGGTCATAGAACGACAAATATAATAAATACAAGAACTTAAAATTCACTTTCTAGGATATGAAAGAAGAGAAAAAGAAATTCACTTTTTAGGATACGATAGAATTTCTATTACATTCAGTGCATTTAACTGCATTTAAATCTTTTACTGTTATTTCGACAGCGAGGACAACATAATGAAAATTACCAACCTGATGTAAAATTAAGCAATAAACTTGAATAATAAAGAGTGCAAACAAGTAAACTTTCTGGAGAAAACGAAGTGATCGTTCTGGACACAAAAACTGCATAATACTTATTGATAAAAATAGATAGCAAAGTGTAATAGAAATCTAAAATAAATAAACGTTAGGAAACATAATAGAATAAATACTTTCATATGAGACCACAGTTTGCTAATATAAAAATATTAACAAAGTTGTAGTATCATCGAACTAACAAGTACTAACATTATAAACTGGTTTTAAATATATGAATAATATTAAAGGTGAAAATTACGCAGATTTCTATTCATTGTCTTACTCATTACATCTACAAAAATTTCTCTTATACTTTGATATAAAGCTTAGAATATTTTAAACTGACAATTTTATCAAACAACAATAAAAGGACATACCTTCAAAATATTCTCAAAAAATGTGAAGAAGAGAGGAAAAAGTGAAACGTTTGCCGCAATTGAAAGCACAATAAAAGATGGTAGAAATCGGTGATTCTGAAATAATAAAATTTTCATAACTTTATGATAACGTTTTTCCTAACCATAAAGTAAACTAAATAAATAGTTTGTACATTAATAGTATGAGTCCCAATTAGGAGGACTAACATTTCATATTTCATTTGTCAAGCATACAGTTTTCTCATAGAAGGGAGGAAAATATCGCATCGAATATTCGAGCAAATTTATATCTCACAAAGAAAAATAAATTACAAAAAATGAATAATCGAAGTGTGACAGAAGTGTCGATCAGCAAAGTTGCTTCTTTTTAGAATAACGTATGTTTATAGCAACAGTAAATATATCTTTTTATAAAAAACACAGTTAACTGTAACATACTGAAGAAGCTAGAATGGTATATGGGATAGTAATAAGTACGACTGCTTTTTCGTGCACATGATATCCGGCAAGGAAGAAAGCAAATGCAGATAATGTGAGTAAAAGAGGGAAATTTTTCACGTGCCGCGTACGAATAAGCGATACTAACGGTAACAATAATGCTAATGTCACTAGCAACGTTCCGAACGGTGATACAGAAGGTAAAATAGAATGCTTGAATTCCTGAAACAATTTAGTTCATGTCTACAAAATAAACTAAAAATGTTCATCTTTTTCACCACAGTTTATGATTCGAAAAAAAAAACGAAAATAGAGAATCATATGGCAAATAAGTGCAAAAATACCTGTACAAGGCCTGAAATGTAGGTAGGTGAATGAACATCTGGCGGCAGTCGTTTGGTCAATTTCAGAATTTGATACAAATACCAATCAGCAAAATTATAAAATGCCCATAAATTCGGGGCCCAATAAGCGTGTGTTAGACCACGCTCAAAGGGAAACAACCGTCTCCATATTTGCTGTAAAACGTCAGGACCACATAAATAAATAAATGGACCTGAAAACACTGCTAAAATTTATACCTGAACAAAATCTAATCAGAAAAATAACCCAGAGAAAATATATGTTCGTAAAAGCATCATAACATTTAACAAATCAATCTATAATCCGTCGAATATTTATTCAATCGAAGTCATTTTAAAACTGTTAAAATTGTACAATAAAGTTTTAGAAATAGTTATATGTATTAGAAGAGTAAAAAACACTTTACCTTACCAAAAGATAGCGCAAATGGAAGAATAAGAATAACAGCTAATTTTGCACCATTGCTTATGAAAGTCCTTGTGGAAGAAAACAAATAATTTACAGCATAGTATATCGTGTAAGCAGGTGCATAGCACAGATAAATATGTTTCATATTTAACAGAACGCAGTAGATCAATGCACCCTGAAAATGAATTGTAAAATTTTACGATAGCAAAAACTTTCATTATGAATGCCTAGTTTTTATTACTCATCAAGATCAATGAATTTTTAAAGTATAATTGTTAATTTTTGATATCAATTGACATTTCCGTATGGAATGATGTATATTGCAGGACGCCGAGCAATCTCCATGAACTTTCTCTTATGCTGATATGAAAAACTCAGTAAAGAGCCAGTATCAAGGAAAATTAGACTGACTGACATTACATAATTATAATTTATCAGAGATTCTTATGAACTATTCTTGCGATTGAGATACACAAATGGAAGAAATATTTGAAATGATCAAATAATTTGTCGTGGAACTTACAAATAGAAAAGACTTTCGGATAAGCGAGCCGAGTGAAATCAAAAGAAGTGATGTCAGAATGCCGTTGTATTGAAAATGTATGTTATCGATCATCAGCAAAGAAACATTAGCTATGAGAAAAATGCTGGCAGCAACTGAATTTCTCTTTACAGAGTTATCATTTTTGCAACGTCCAGAAAAGCTTTTTGTTAGAAAAACACATGATAAGCTCTAAAATTTCATAAAATTAAAACAAAATGAAGATAAAACTATTACAAACAAAATATACTGTCCATTACCATAATTCGTATAAAATAAAACTTACGTAAAAACTTACGTAGTAAATAAAAAAAACAAAACTTACGTAAAAAACATCTGCTGCAATTACGGAAAATCTTTGGAAGTACAGTAATTCACTGGAAAAATATGAATCTTTTTGTAGCACCAATGCAGAAGGGATAACTTTTGATGCCACCTGAAGATTGTTCACTTACAGTCAAACAAATATATAGTTCTTCGTCTCATTGATTTAAAGTCATATTAGAAATATCAAAGAGTTCTAAATTAATATCATCCACCTGACTTAAAAAATATTCAAAAAAAGCGAAAAATGGAGGATAATCAAGAGTCCATTGCGATGTATTTTCGTAGTACCATGAGCAAATAGGAAGCGTATATGTGATAGCCATCCAATTACGATGAACCTATATTAAAAAGAAAGCTTTAACTTTCAATTTAAATTTAGGGTTTCTTTTTTTAATAGAAATAAATTTGTTGAAGAAACAAAATTGTAGAGAATAAGTCTTGAAAATTTTCTTACTTCGTTTTTGAGTGACTTACCTCGAAATCGGTACTATGATAACATGGTATCAACAGAAATTTGATGGCAAAAATTGCTGCACAACAATACTGAAACCATTCTTTTCTGAACTGTTTCTGATAATTCAGTGATTTTGAATCATTTATCTGATCCTCTGGTACTGATGAATGAGTAGTCATCATATCGTATGGTAAGTCATTTAGAAGAAATCTGAAAAACTGACTTCAATTCGCTTCAAATTTAAATCACAAATTAAAATTTTCCGCAAGATGCGACAGAGAAAGAAATTCATAAATATTAGCGCAACGAGTGTTAGTATCATCACCGCTATCATGATTATTATCAGAGTAATTGTGATATCAATACAACTACAATGGCTATTATCTGAGTAACTATGATTATTACTGTTGTAATTGTGATATCAATACAACTATCGCGATCGTTATTCAGAATAATCATGATATCATCCGCAATTACAGCGACTACGAGACAACTATTCGCATGGAATATAGAAAAGACATGATCCAACAACAAACAGAACAGTTGGACCGGTCAAAAGAGAACATCAACCGAGAAAAAAACCGGAATCCGGTGTGTCGTGCTATTTCCAATGAGTAGACCATGTGGGAAGACGGGATTGAATATTATGAGAGAGAGAGAAAGAGGGAGAGAGAGTGAGAGAGAGAGGAAGAATGGAGGAGAGGGAGAGAGAGTGGGAGAGAGGGAGAGAGGGAGAGAGAGTGGGAGAGAGGAAGGGAGGAAGAGAGAGTGGGAAAGAGGGAGGGAGAAAGAGGGAGAGAGAAAGAGATTATGCCAGCTATTTCTCTTATTGTAATGATGCATAACCGCACTGGTGATAGGTAATGTTCTGGTTGTATACAATTTCCGCGACCGGACTGTCATGTCACCCATGGTGGACAAAAATGACTACGATGGCATCTCAATTGAGATAATTTTGATTGCAAAGCCAAAGGTCTCAAGTGATACGAAAATAAAATATAGCAGTACTCGAACCTTATATTCTTACTCTGAGCTTGATAGCGCATTTCCTTGACTCTCTGCCATTTTAGGCCATAAATGCTCGAAGCTTCCGTAGGCCATAGATTTGTATATCCTATAAATTTGTACTTAAGAATCCTGTAAATCCAATGTATTTTTTTTTCTGATAACTTTATACTGTACTTTTTTAACACTATCGTTGTCTAAGTACAATCAAATTATTTATGGCAGATGGGTAATTGCAGTTGTGCACTCCTGATTTGATCCATGTTTCCTTTGGAAAAAATTCCCCTCCTTCGATAGAATCAAGAAAATATCATGTATTTCCCAGAATTTCAATTAAACCAAAATGATGTTATCTGTATTGGCCAGGGATAATCAGAGATTCACAAATCAACATTCTACAGGAACTTCGCATAACACCGTGTCCAGCATATTACACATCTCAATCGAATACCAATATCACATACATAACTTGCCTAGAAGGCAGAAGAAGCTCCTTTCAGAAATTTATAACTCGTGAGCGATCTGTTTTTTAAAGCTGTATTTTGCATAATTTTATTCTAAATGTAAAAAAAAAAAATGTGTGGATATATAGGATGATACGAAGAGCTATATGATCGGATGATAAAATAGCATCAGTTACTGCGTCATTAGCAAAATGGGAGGTTACTGTTATCTTTTTTCTTTCATGAAGGGAATTTCACACAAAAGCAATTTTTGAAAAAATAAAACGAAAGACTTGATGATCTTCTTCATGTATTTTAATATAAATAGTCAAATGCCTTCATTGAAAAAATATTTATGTAATACTCTTTCTTTTCAAAATTACAGCCATAGCCATGAACGGCACTAAAAAAATTACAAGTAAAAAAAAACTGAAATGGACAACAAATGCAAAATGATAACAATGACAATCTTTGCTGAAAAATTTAGAGTTTTCAAAACAAACTGACAATGCTGTAGGATTAAAACAACTTCAACAAATCATGACATTATACTTTACTGTTGCGATTGACGTTCTGCAGTTCGAAAAATTTGCTCGTTCCTTTCTTCGGGTTACTCATTGGTGATGTCCACACGGCTGAAGATGTTCGCTTATTATAACGTGTGTGATTCCTTGCAAAGATTTTATCCAGCATAGGCGTTCGTACCGGTCCGAAATAAACATCGGGATCGATAGATAGTTGCGCAACTTGTTTCCGTAACGCATTTTGTAGTCGTTCCCCTGAAATAAAAAGCGCACAGTTACTTAACAAGATTTTCTCGATTATTTTCATTTCCTTCATTCTACAACTATTTTGAATTAGCTTATATTTCCTTTGGTAACTAATAAATATAGAATAGGAGCATAAGAGGACTTCTTTCGCATGCATCAACTCTTCTTTAATGCGCTAGATGGCTATTTTAGAAGTAGAAGAAATCGACACTGACCTTGCGCCCAAAAAGGAATTGGTTTTCGTGGATTTTCCTCATCATCCGTCTCATCATTTGATGAAATGCTTTCTACATCGTAGTTATTACCAGTATCGTCTAACATTTCACTATTTGATACGTTCACGCTAAAACAATAATGGAAATAACAATTCTCTAGAAATTTATAAAATTTTATATGTACTTTCAGAACTATTCGATTTCGAAAAATGAATGTTTAAGTATCTAAACATCTTTTACAATATCTAAATAGCTCGAGCAAAAATAACCTTTTGTCAAAAGTTCGATTACTTATAGTGTTTGTCTCGGCAGTGAGAATGTCAACTTCCATGACTTGTGAAGGTTCATCAGCATTTTCTTTCTCGTTTGTCTCCGAATTCTCAATCGCAGGTGAATGCACTACGATGTTAGAATCAACATCACAGTTTTGCAAAAATTCTTGTTTGTCTACTGCAGAAGTTTCTTTTAGTTCAATAGCTACATGTATGTTGCTTTGTGAATTTCTCCCTCCAGAACTCTCGTCACTACCAACACATTCAGTATGAGTTTGATTATCGACAAGCTTCTCACTCAGCACTTCTAACGTGTCAGTCTTAGCGGAACGTCTGTCAGTATTATTTCTTTCACTGCATTCTACTAAATCTAGCTTCTGTTTTTTATTTTGGACACAGATATCCTGTTTGACACTATCGACGTGGTTCCGTTTTCCTTGAAATTTAAGGTTTTCCTGAAATAACATCTGAAAAATTCAGCAAAATTTTTCTTAAAACTGAAACAGCCATCTTTTATCAACATAACATGAAACCTGTCTATCTTTTGTTATCTCTTTTTGTGATACGTCCTTTCGTGCAGAGATGTCTTGTGAAGATTTCGCACGAACGAGCGGTTTCTGTATGCGATTGTAATAGCCTCTGCAACAATTGTTTCTAATTCATCATCACCATTTAACGTTCATGTGATACGTTTCTCGGTCTTTTGAAAGCAGTTTTTCTTCAGCAACTCTTATTCTCCCATCAGCTTAATCAAGCTCCAAATTCTGAAGTACTTCTTAAATCATTATTAATATTAACAAAACCTAGTACGACAGGGTGATTTTGAGATGGCTCTTTGTGGTGCGCGTTGCTTCTGTCTCAATTCTTCAATTTGTTGTTCGCGCATTTTTATTATCCGAAGCTTTTCGAGCGCCTCTTCTTCTTTCTTCTTATTGTTCATTTTGACGCGTAGTGCCCGTTCCTCACGATCTCTGAATTTCAGCTCGCATTTAGAGTTTGATTCAACACTTCTTAGAAATTCATATAATTCTTCTCTTTAATGATCTACGGAATGTTAAATTTATCAATCTCGTCGAAACATTCCAGAATTTCTCAAACAACATAAGATGCACTGATATAAAAAGTTTAGCCAAAATTTACAAATCAGCTAAAAAGATCTGCAAAATGATAATTGTATATAATTAAATAAATGACCTTCTCGCACGTTCTGCCTTTTCTTTCATCAATTCTTCTTTGTTTTTAATTACAGTATTTGTTCTTTTCTCCATCTTGCGTATTACTTCAGATCTCTTGAATGTTGGCTATAAAGAAAACTTATGCACTGGGATCCGTTATTTTTCATAGAATTCTAATCACAGTCCTCTCTCTGCTTAATAGGCTTATGCAATTAAGTGATTTTGACCTACTGTAGATTATGATCTTGATTTCTATATCTCAATCCATTCCCATGAGCCAAATACGCTTCAAACTGAAAGCAGATTAATTTAAGATGCAATAAAGGTGAAACCAACTTGCTGAACAGTCGGTTTTGGTGTATCCGTAGTCTTCTTATCAGCCATTTTTGAAGTAACAACTGTCCTCTCAACAATCGCCTTCGGAGTAACTTTTTGGGCAATGGATTCCGGGTTAGCCACAATTTTTTGTGTAATCCTAGGAGTCATTCCATTTCTAAGCGACGTCCTGGAAAATATTCATTTTCCCATAAAAATTATATTCACTGAAGCAAAATCCCGGGCAGAAAAACAAACTGCTTACCGTTTTGGTGTACTGTTGCAAGAAGTTGCAGTTGGAGGATGCTTATTCACCTGTAAAACAAATGTTTCATCGAAAAAAGCAGAAAGCAATTATATACTTATTCCTAACGCAAAAGCAATTGTATACTTATATCTAATGCAAGTATATGACAACACCTTAATGGATGTTTGGTGTTTTGGAACACACTGCCTTGGTGTGGGTACCGGTCGAATTGGTGTTTTTCGATCGTTCATTCGGCCAGCTAACATTACTTCTTGTTTTATGGCTCGCTGCAAAAACTGAAATTACGAAACATAAAAAACAAATAAATTTCAAAGTTCAACAACATTACTATTACGCACCGCAGTAGCGTTCCTCGAAGATTTCGGAGTTTGTGCAGCATAAATCATATTCCTGAAAACAGAATACATGCAAACATTCTAAGAACTGTATTTCCCATTCTTTCATATATTTTTTATCGACGAAATCCAAAATAATTTAACGTAAAATTGCCATATTTCCAACCGAAAATACATACAATTCAGCAGCCATACGCACAACTGCTACGAATTCCTTGCATGACGATTACAGGAAGGGGTATACTACACCAATTAAGGTGATCCTATGGAAGATATATTCATTCAAATAATTTAAATAATAAAAGTAACATACCCATCATTTGCAAAAACAGCTGTTCGTTTCCGTATAACGCTATCTAACAGTTTTTTTCTGCACTTCTGAAAAGTTTCCGCTTCCTGTGAAAAACAGTATCCCCGTTTAGGTGTTTTTGGTAAGCGCATGCGACCTGTTCTGCAACTTCGAGCTCTAATAAGTATGAGTGCAAAATCAAACGAAAAAAAAAGTTGATGCTCATGCAAACTACCAATTCTTGTATGTTAAAATTCTTCATTTTCACATGTTCTTTCTGTCACGAACAACTTGAAAACTAGCATGCTGGAAAAGAACCGAATTAAAGAATGAATAATGTTTTGATGACTAATACGATGAATTTTCAAAAAATTCATGCTTGATAAAATTAGCAATTATCAAGTTACATCACCCAAAGATGCTTTTTACAAAATGATAACAGTCCTGATATATCTAAAAAATATATGAAAAAGAACACCTAGTAGAAATAGAAGTCGAAATTAATATGTTTTATCAAATTTAATCTGACGTACATTTCCATGAAACGGACAACTTACTCATTCCGTATAATTTCTTTTCCAATATCTCTTTGCTCTTCGAGCCAAAGGAAAAAATTACTGACTTTTGACAAGATATCCGCATCAAATTTACACACAATTAATCGATCGAAATGGCAAAAATTAATCCTAAAAATATAATAAAAGCTCCATCAAAAGCAAACCATACAGAAAGAAAATAAGAGAAATGTGGAAAAATGCAAACAAATTTTGAAAAGAAATCTCCCTATTAATTACAACGTCTTATTCCACAATCAGCAACAATTCGATTACAGACTTTTTTCTTTTGACAGCTTCATCATTTGTTAAATTTCTTAAATTATGGATAAATTTATACACTTTCTGCGTAATTTCAAAATGTAAGAGTATATCATTGGCAGAATTTTCAAAACAAACGTTTTCATTGCTGATGAAATTTCAAAACCAAAGGATATCTGTCTCTATCAAAAAAGGCATAATGCAAATCCTTAGCTACTTATTTTAACCTATCAAAATTTATTCCTGATTGATGGAATCATTTAATGCAACGATTCGAAATTTAAAATAAAAAATATTATAAAAAGCATAGCTTTTGCAAAAAAAAAAAACTTCGAATTAGATTTGCAAATTGGTAAAAGAATTTATATTTGAAAAAAAAAAAAATCTGACCGTGAATTTGCAAGTAATCCGTTCACGTCATCTTCAACAGTCATATTTAATCGATGCTTGTAAATACGTCTATCCGTGAAACCTAAACGTAAGAAAAAAGTGACATCATGATAAGACGCATACGCACAGTCACGTCACACGTCCCAATCAATTCCAACTAACACCTTGCCAACAAAACATTTCCCAACGGATCATCGTTTAAATGAAAACTTTGGCGCGAATAACAAAAACTGTCTATTTGTATTCTCTCACTGTCTAAATATCTTTTTAGTCTGACGCTCTGTCTTTTGTAAAAGCTCTCTCATCTCTGTCTCAACGTGAAATTTTCGATTTTGCGACACTTTGCGACACATTACTGATTATACTTATAGGGATGTCTGTGATCTGTGCGAGAATGTTAGGGGGTGTAAGGTATGGTACGCTTTATGTCCCGAATATTTTGTATGTAAATTACGTCTGATCAACGTGATTGATTATCTCTAATTAACATTTCATGCCATTTTTCTGCATGATTGTTAACAAAAGTTTCCTTTTTTGAATATTATTCTTGCATGTTTGTATTTTTATGCCTATATTTATGTTTTTGTATACGTGTGCATATACAATAACTATCAAAAAATGAAGATACTGAAGTATTATTTATTGAAGAATGGGTATTATTCTGTTTTGTTGCCTATTTCTTTCGATAATTTTTAACTTGTTTTTTATTTGATAACTTTTTTATATCAATTCTAACTCTTTTATTTAATAATAGCATATTCTTTCAAAACGATAGGATGATAACAAATTAAACTTCAGAAATAGATGCAGCAGATACAGTCTGAAATTAAATGTATGTCAAAGTGAGGTATGTTTTTGTGTTGAGCAATATCGATCGTTTAAAGGATTCTTTTATGTCTTTAAATTTATCTCTCTTTTCTTTCCTGCCTATTTTTTTTAGAAGGAGATAGAGTAACATCTTTAATCAGTTTTGCTCTCTTTGCTTTTTCATATCGTTAAGTATTATCATATATTCATATGCCCTAGGACAAATAAAGATTTCAGAAATAGTTTATTTTATATGTTCAGAAATAGTTTATTTTATATAAGGATGTTCAGAAATTGTTCGCTTTTATGCTGTAGTAATAGACATACTAATCAGTATGTTAATTCAAATTTATTTTATAATTATTGAATAAATGGACGTCATAAAAATCATTATCAATACTGGAAAGGTAGCAACAACAGGCTTATGTAAACTTCTCCAGTATCTCTGAAATAATTTATGAAAAGATTGGAAAGGAGGACTAATATGATCTATTCGTATTCCCTAGAACAAATAAAGATGTTCAGAAGTAGTATGAAATTAGTGGTAAGTAGTAGATTGTGAAAAAATTGGGGGTAAAGAGATTGAAAAGTGAAATGATTGTTGTGCTCAAAAGAGTTGAGTTATCACCAACAAAGATGATCAGTTCATTAGTTATATTCTTGTTATTCTTATATGTATTCTTATATATTATATTATTATATTGATTTTATTCTTTTATATTCTATCCTTATTAGTTATATTCTCTCTCTCTCTGTTGAACAAATTGAGTGGCATGAATATAGCTCGGTCATGTGCTTGTTTCAAACAAATTTTTCTAATTTTCATGCTGCTTTGTTCAATATGTTTAATATTGTACTCATTTTAAAACAAGGTCATTTTAACAGATTATTTCAATAATTGCTGTGTAACAAATCTAATACATAATTATCGACCTCAGCACACGAAAAATATATGTACTGCTATTTGGCTTGATAAATTCATTTTGAAAATGCTAAAAAACTTCATTATTTTAAATACATGTAAATACAAATTTAATTCTCTTACACTTAAAAATCCTCATAAAAATTACAGGAACTTCTTCGAATATCATTTGTTTCATTTCAAGAAAAGCGATTTATTTATTTAAAACCTGTGCAAGGAAAAACAAGTGACGATTAATCGTGCAGTAAACAATATCAAAACTCAAGACGGTCAATTTGAAGATGCATTTATTTTATAAAAATGATTTGAAATAAACAAATACATAGCTATGTATTGTACTGTAATTACACATAACTCATTGAATTGGTAATGAAATAGAGTAACATTAACAATTTTGAAGTATTATTTCAACTACAGAAATGATACAAAAGAATTTACATAATAATATCAGGTTCCAATACACTTACTGAAATAACTTTATGGGGTAAAACTCGTACGCCATTTAAATACAATTCATCGTTCACAATAACATCATCTCCAATAACACAGGTATTATCAATTCTAACCCAACTTCCAATAATACATTTCCTACCAATAATACTACCATTTATCCAACTATGACTATGAATGATACAATTTGATAGTATCGTTGAATCTCGTAAACAAACTCCATCATGAATTTGTACACCAGATCCGATGACAACATTTGGTCCAATAATACAACCGTTACCAATTCGAGCTGTATCATGTATCATCACATCTTCTTGTACATAACATTCCTTGCTAAGCATCGATGAATGTTTTAAGTGTAGAAAATGAAGATATAATCGGGTACCAGTAAGAAAATCACGTGGTTGTCCAATATTCATCCAAAAATCCTCGAGAATATAAGTGTACAAATTACCAGTTTTTGCCATTTCCGGGAAGATTTCTTTTTCCATGGAAGTTGATCGTAATGGTATTCGATTTAGCACTTTTGATGATAAAACATACAAACCCGCATTAATATTATTACTCACATATTCCGATGGTTTTTCTACAAATTGTTCCATTTTGTGTGTTTTTTCATCGAAAACACAAACACCATATTTGCTTGGTTCAGCAGATTTTGTTACCGCAATGGTACCTTCATGTTGATGCCAAACATGAAAGTCAATCATTTGTCGAAATGGAAAATTACAAATAATATCGGAATTGAGTACAAAAAATGATTCTTCATCTTTGAGTAAATTTCTTGCTAGTAATAAAGCTCCTGCTGTTCCAAGAGGTTCTTTTTCCACCGAAAAATGTACCGTAATGTTCCAATGTTTCGCCTGACGTATCATTTCTTCTTCCAAAAGTTTCTCATGGTAAATGGTAGCTAAAATAATCGTATCCACACCTGCTGCTACCAATGCTTCTATCTGATGAAAAACCATCGGTTTATTGGCAAACTTAATAAGCGATTTAGGTTGAGTTAGGGTTAAAGGTCGTAAACGTGTACCATAGCCACCAATCAAAATTAAAGCCTTCATAAATTTATTGCATTTGATATGCAATTTTATCACTTCCTCTCTCTTTCTCTCTCTCTCTCTCTAATTAACCGATTAATAAAATTAATTTAAAAAATAATAAAATCATAGCAAATTATCTTCAATTATTGATAAAGTTTGATAGCAGCAATTAATCAATAGCGGAACAGAGTAACAAATATAAATTTAGTTGAGGAACGAATTTTGAAGTAATAAATATTTTGGTGGAATAGATGAATATTTTAGAGAGTAACTCTAACTAACTGCACACATGCATCAATCAATAATTATAAATGCTAACACTCAGAAGTAAACAGCTATGTCTCATCCAACATTTGCAAGATTATATTGCGCTTTCATTCTATATCGATTTAAATTAATTCTTTCTTTCATTTTAACATAAACCGATAATGTACTTTTACTTCAATGCACCATAATAAAATCGATTGTAAAGAATAAATTTGTTTATTAACTGATTAGTTTAAAAACTCATTGCACTGATCTCATTTATTCCAAAAGAAAAAAAAAAGGAGCCATTATTTATTAAAATGAATATTTAATTATATTTGAGATTATTTATATACGCTTTATTGTAATATTGTTATTGTTGTTATTTCAAACTGATCCGTACGAAAATATCACAATTATTCTATATGATATGGGAGACGTGGAAGTTTCATGGTGAACCGTGAAAGCTAATTCCGTTGATTTTTTATTTTCTGCACTTTCTCGAATATTGCATTTAATTTCATATTTTGAATTGTTGCATGCTTTGGTTTATTAGTATTGACATATCAGTTTTCCTCTAAATGATATAAATTTATCAGATTTTTTTTTTTGTTAGAAATTACTATTTAAAGATTTCCGTACAGTCGATATCGCGTATGATTAATTTTGATCTCATCATAATTATCACTGTCGACACGATATATTGAATTTTGAAACTTTCATCCGATTATTCCGCTCTTTCAGATATTTGATTGAAAGATGGTGGAGAAAAGGAAGGTTGACCAACAAATTGCGTGGATTTATGAGGGAACAAAGTCGTTGGTTAATCGAGAAGATTATCTGCTCGGCAAACGGGTATTAAAAATTGCTTAATAACTTATAGAATGGTCTATTACAACTCTTACTTTACAACAACATAGTATAGTTGTTTAATGGAATTTCTTTTTAGGTGGATAAGAACTTCGAACTCTACTCTGATACTGTTATCAGTGAGAAAGAGAGTGGGATTGAAGCATTAGAAAAGCCGCAGCGATGCATAGGTGAGACTTCTTCATCGAGGATATCCAATCTAGAAGTTGATATTGTGAGAACCGAAGATCCGTTGGTGGCTATTAAGGTGATATCTTAAATGACTTTATTTTATTATTTTTTTTAGATTTTGCATGAGCTAAAACTTTACTCTGTACTCTGCTACTCTAAACTTGCATAACTCAAAAATTCGCTGATAATTTGCTACAAGTGATCATTTGGTTTCAGATGAGGGAAGAAAGGATTTGGCAGGAGAAAATGGAGAATCCGTTAGTGCAATTAAGAATGCAAAAACTGATGAAAAAAGTGATGGAAAAAAAGGAAAAGAAGCGATTAAAAAAATTGAAGAAATTAGAAAAAAAAGACAAAAAACGTAAACACAGTGCAAATTGTGATGACAGTGATAATGATCACGTTAAGGTAAAGCTCGTTACTTTATGTTAAAATTCGCATTCTTTTTTTCTGATTTTCATCATGGTATTTTGTCCGAAATATCTTTATTTATAGAGAAATGAACGACATCGTGTTATTGATGAAAAACATGCAACAGTGCCTTCCTTGTCCACGGAGCCGGCAAAAGTAGGAAACTTTCAGTATTCTAGGAAATCAATTATCTTAGAGTCCTTTTGGCATACTATAATATGCTGCTCATCATCGGAATGTTTTTTACTGTAAGTGGAAATCAAGCATTGTTTCAAAATTTAATCATTATTCCATCATTTTTTACAGTTTCAAACCTTAAGGATTAGACAGTGAACAAAAAATATGTAACATTCGCGGAGATTTGGAGTAAAATAATAGTGATTTTCAGGAAAAGCGGGAAAGAAAACATTTGCAGAGGGACAGCCATATCCCAGCACACTTACGACCCAAATACGTAGGTCATTTTTCGGTATCATTCTTTGTTCTTTTTCGGTTCATTAACTATCCCTTTTCCTATTTAAGTGTTCGTCATCGGAGAACGATAGTAATGAAAATGAAAGTACAGAAGAAGATAAAAAATCACAAAAAAAGTATGGTTTAATGAACACAGGGAAACACGAAGTACGGAAGCGGAAAGAGGTCGACAATCCTTATAAAGCTCTTCCAAAAAAACAAATTGAGGCTTACAAGGTTTGTTTCGGAAATACTTTCTTTTCAATAATTTATTCTTATTTCCATAGTTGCAGCTTGCTTTGATGTTCCTTACAGAGGTCAGAAAGGCGTCAATTAACGGAAGAAGAAATGGAAATAAAACGAAAAGAAATGTTAGAAAATGCGAATTGGAGGGATGAAGTTCGTGTAAAAAATATCAAAAGAAATGCGCGACGAGACGAGGAAGAAAATCGAAGAAATGAAGGGAAGACAGCTAATTTTATTAGGTTATGCTCTTTTAATGGACATTTATATATTGCTGTCAGTGTATAATATGATGTGTACTTAGGCGTTATTATTACATTTGCTGCAGGTTGATTGCAGTACATTATTACGCAAAACGCATGACGTACAACCTGTACATGGTTTGATATTGATAACATTTCAGACCGATGCTGAATAATGCTGCATCGACGATGACTGTAGAGCAACAGTTGAAGAGTCATCGAAGAGAATTGCAACGCACCAGCGGTTTCACTGAACAAAAGTTTGTTAGGCGATAAGAATATGATCTAGTTCTATCTGTGCATCTGTGTTCGATACTATTTTTCAGCTTGTATCAAGCATTACGACATAAATTGTATATGATTAATTGCGAAATTAAATTTCAAATTGTCCCCAATTTTGCAAGAACTCAGTGGTTGAAATTTTCAGCTTAATTTAGAGGATTTTTAAAGTGCCTTCTTTCGAATTTTGACAAATCAAGAAAATATATGGAGAAATACAAAATAGACACAACAACAGTATTGTCAACTTGAATTTAAGCCTTGTGCGTGATTTCAGATATGGACATCACAGCAAGAGAAAATATATTTCAATAAATGATGACTGCTAGTTGTAACCTACTTCAAATCATTCATTCGTATAATACTGCGTATATTAAGCATTCAAGTTAGAGAAATTATATATGTACGAATGACACATCAATCAGCATATGTTATAAAAAAAAAAAAGTATATAGGAATGATATTCCTTGCCATTGGAAATATATCGCGTCATAGGCATTCTTAATGAATGAGATGGTAGTCTTTCCATGTTTTCAAGCACTTACTATCCAAACTCTCAACAAGTGACAAACGTGAGAATGAATGTAAAGTAGAGAACAATTTGTCGTGTTCGAATTGTTTCGTTCCATTTCTTTGAAATTTTTCATCGTTATCGTTCATCCACAGTGTATCATACTTACTGTGCAAAAAAATTATATTAAATAAGCAAATCTATGTCTGAAAAAGTCGACAAATGAAACATTGATCAGACTTTCTAGTCAAACATTAAGTACGAAGTTGTAATTAATCCTTGAGTTGTATTAGTTATACCTTAATTACTCTATGATTTGAATAAAAACAATCATGTGGAATCTTATAGCTGATGTAAACAAATCGCACGAATGATGTTCATTTCTCAACGTTCATATAAAAAAATATTCTTAAACAAGTGAAACAAAAACGTTTCATGAAAAAGCATTCTGACACGATTTTATTCCTTCATTTGACAATTTCAAGGAATACAGTTCTCGTATAAAGTATTACATGAGAAGATAATAAATGATATATCAAACTTGAGAGATATTAAGAAAACAGCGCAAATCTATCTGATACAACGTTAACGTTAGCCACAGAAATGTCACATCATCGTGAATTAACTAATGATTTGAAGTTGAACTTTTCAGCTACACTTAAAAATAAGTGAATATGAAATCCTTCATCATCTCAACCTTCCCATTAACTTAGAATTAGTTAGGTCAAGTTTCTGGATAAATTCAGTTTTGTAAGTCCTTTTACTTTCTTATTGAAGAATTTTTTTTTTCATGTTTAATTTTGATTTGTATTTTACTTTATTTGCATGCATTTCAGTTTATTTTATTTATGTATACTTTACTACTAACTTCATTTCGATGCTTTTTTAATTCACTTCATTTGCATATATTTCATTTGAAAACAAATGGTTATTGTGTTGATGATGAATAAGATATTGGCATAGCGGATTAAAAAAATATATAATTTATGGTGAAAAACTATTGCAATATGAAGTTCTATCGAATTATAATTCAAAATTTTCCATTCAATTTCATCAAT